GTAGTAACAGGTGCCTTACTAGTAGTAACAGAAAGCTATTAGAATTAAACTAAATTAGATAAATTCTAATAGCTTCTTGTTACTACTAGTAACAAGTGCCACGCTAGTAGTAACAGGTGCCTTACTAGTAGTAACAAAAAGCTATTATAAATAAAATAAATTAACATATATTAATAGCTTCTTGTTACTACTAGTAAGGCACCTGTTACTAGAAGCGATGCACTTGTTGCTACTAGCTTCTTCTTACCCATCAAGGTTCTCAGCTTCTTCATGTCCCAAGAGGCAAGATGTGACAGGGTGGTATGCAGTGACCAGTGGTTCGGAGCAAGAAACAGGCGGATTCTTGAAGGGTGCAAGTTTTTCATCTTTTGATTTCAGGAGATTGAGAAGCTTTCTTGGATTTCCTTGATATATATATATATTACATATTATTACAGTACATATATACACACCTATAGTTACTTGCAGCAAGAACAATAGTTTGTAAGGCTGCCAGGGTCATTTTTGCGTTGTAACAGCTGATTATGTTTGACTTGACATAAAAACAATTGCACTTCAGCTACTGCATGGCCTCCAAGCTCTTGGAGTTCAACCCTCATGAGGCAAGTGTGATTGCTTGAGAGGCCTCGCCAATTGCCAGTGAAGGCGTTTCCTTGCTGGTGCCTGCCTATGTCATCGGAGCCCGAAGGCGCGGAGAGAGCGGACAAGCGCAAGGAACGCACTGTGCTTCGCAGACGCCAAGGATCTTTGCCAACTTTGATGGGACCTCACGGGATATTGGCCCAGCTTTTAACCAAGGCGAGCGTTTTTTGCTACACCGCGACAGAATGTATTGCATGTTTGCCATGTGGACATCGCTTGTTTTTCTCAACGGGTATCTTTTGTTTTGCCAATCATGGTTGACCAAGGTAACCCTGTGGTAAATCTGGCTGTGCCCATGACCTCAGACCTGGTCCCGGTGCAGATTGGTGGACAGAGTGCCCAGATGAGTGCGATGAGTCCCTTTTTAGGCCAGAGCTCTTCCATAGATAGCTTGACTGCCCTTAAGATGGCAAAAGCATTGCCGATGCTGAGTAACAGCGGACATTTGGGGAGAATTCATGAGGAGCGTTCTCAATCAAATCTTTGGGAAGATGGTTTTTATGCATTGCCTTCGGACTTGAGAATGCCAGAAGGCCAATGGCCAGAGCACCCCTTGGATGTTTCTGTGTGTTGGGGTTGGTCTTTTCCTAGTCTGAGTTTTGCTGCTTTGGAGGTTTTCAGAGCATCAATCAACAAGCTGGGCTGGCCAATGATGTTCCTCCATGCAGGCAAGAGCTGATAGCGAGTGCTGTGCCATTTCCATCAACATATTTGCAGAGAAAGCCCGCTTTAGAAAGCGTCCTCGAAGTTTTGCAGCTAGAAATGTGTCAACTAGTAGCGATGGCCTCCACCCTAGTAGCGATGGCCTCCACCTAGTGGCTTGTTGCTTCAAGGAGGTGCCTTGTTACTAATGGCCTTGCATCTGAAAAAGGCTTAACCAGAATCCCATCCAGTTCCAGACGAGCGGGGATTATGGCTTCGAGAACCAGGCAGGAGAACCTTCTCCACGTGATCTTCTTGTCCAAATGAAAATCTGCCCTCAGAGTCTATGAGTCTAGGCAGCAACACTTAGACTTAGACGTCTTCATACCTGTAGTGACTAATTACTAGTGGGTGGTAGCTCAGCCTGTTGACCTCCGGTGCCTCCATCAGTGTATGCGCCAGGTCAAAGCTTGGTACAATGCAGTGTCCTTGCAATTCTGGCACCCCGACGTCCAGGTGGGGAACTTACAGCTTGCAGCTTCCAGTCTAGAAACAAGTGCCTTACTATAGTAGTAACAAGAAGCTAGTAGAAACAAGAAGCTTCTAGTAACAGCTGCATCGCTAGTAGTAACAGGTGCCTTACTAGTAGTAACAAGAAATTGCCGTGACAATCCGTGACAGGTGATATTGAAATCCATGGCTAAGTCCATTGGCTCTGGTCCCTGGGGATCAGGACAGCCCATCTGTTTGCCCCGACGCAGCAAAATGCCCACATGAATCCCACGCCAATCCCACGCGGAACGCGACCGGAAGACCTCAGGAGTATGGTGGGGCAACAGCCAGATCTTCGCACTGGTCGCCTGGATGGGCCAAGCGTTGGCTCAACAATCTTGGGACCAGGAGTGAGAAACAATCAACCGAGAACGCCAGAGATTTGTTTGGTTCTTTTGCATAGAAACGAGCTTGAAAAGAGCAGAAAAACAAGACCAAGAGACACGCCTCTGGACAGCACGCAGATAGGAGTTCTTAAGCCGCAGCGAGCTTTTCGGCTGGGGCTGGTGCTGAGCTCCGTTTGTTTTTGCAGGCTCCCTTTTTGGACTACTACATCTACTCAAGCTTCACAGAGAACCCCTCCAACCAATGTCTAATCCATGCGAGAGAAGACTGCATCAAGTGCCTGCAAAGCTGCGACGATGCATTTGCAGGACGGACCTGTGAGCGGAACCCGTGTGCTAATAGCTTCTTGTTATAAATTAAGATCAAATTAAATTAACTAATAGCTTCTTGCTCCTAGCAGCAAGGCACTTGTTACTAGAAGCGATGCACTTGTTCCTAGTAGCTTCTTGTTACTACTAGTAAGGCACTTGTTACTAGAAGCGATGCACTTGTTACTAATAGCTTCTTGTTACTACCTTCACTCTGCTTAGGCTATGAAAGTCTAGTTCGCTCTGAATGTAGGTCTTGAGTCGACGAGGACGACTACTGTTGCATAATGAGTAGCATTAGTTACTGTAAGTTTCCCTGAAAATATCTCTAGGAACCAATCATTTGTGCGTGAGCTATCCCGCGTCCAGGTACTAGAAGCTAACTTCGCCTAGTGCTACTACCCCTTTTATCTCTTCTAGCGGCCTCCCCCAGACCTCTTTTTCGTTCTTCGTGTCAGACTTTTTGTGTTTTTCTTGCGTCTCCAGGACCTGGCACGACGCAGAGATATTGCTGCATGGAACCGCAGCCGTGGATCCCATCCTCTGGGCTCTTTCCGCAAACCAATGACGGCAAGGCCGGGCACAGCAAAAAAATTAGTAGATCCCTCAACGTTGTGAGCCTTTGTAGATCCTGAACAGAGCCGAAATGTCTTCGAGTTGGATTTGCATCCCTTTTGACTTGGTTCCTTTCTCTGATGTCACCCTTGCTCCTTGCCACTGACAGCCTTGCATTCCCACGGACTTGCACGAGCAGATCTGTGGTGAGAATGGCTTTGCACACGTGCACCTGGGAAGTTAAATGCATCAGTTTTGGTCATAACTCCGTAGACTCCAGTATTCTGACAACGTTCACCTCCAGTGCTGGCCTACCCAGGTATGACCATTTCAAAGGCTCGACGGTCGGAGAACTCTGGAACGCTGTGAAAACTGCAGCTGCGACCGTGGAGGCGGATCCGACAGCCACAGCCTGAGAGGAAGAAACGCTGAGAGGATTGTTCCCTTTCGGATGCATGAACTACCCATAGGCTCGGAAGTTTGATGACACTGAGGCAACAACTTTGTTTGATGCTATGCTGCGCTGACACCATAGTGATTAGAGCGGGAGAACAAAGATTCTCTTGGCGAAAACTGTGCTTAGCTTGCTTGAGCAAAAAGGGGTCTTGGTTTTGGCTTTGTCGGGACCCTTCACTGAACGAATTGACTTTGCTTGCGGGTTCCTCGATCACTCATGCTGTTTAAGCTAGACTAAACACATCCTGGCTTGTTCAGCCTTGAGTAATGGGTACTACTTCAGTCTTACTCATTTGCAATTGCCGCATGCATTCTGGGACCGCAAGTTGGTTTCAGTACCCAGCTGATGCACTTCTGCATTCCACCCCTTTCCGCACAAAACGTTGGGTGCAAAACAGATTCGGACTCCCACCCTTTCACAGCGCTCAGCCATTGGGGGTGTCTCTCAGACTTGCCCCAAGTAGAGATCTGGATTCGCACTCTTCTTCTCATTGACAAGTGAATGTCGAGGCTACGACATCGACACCACTGAACCACGGGGTCCCAGCTTTGAGGAGCCGTGCAAGCTCGGAAGCCTGGAGTGGATCCAGATGGCTTATCCAAGATGGTTGGAAAGGAAGAGCTAAAGAACACGTATTCGATTGAACACACGCTACAAGAACTAAGAACATCCAAAAATCCATTCGCATATTTAATTATATAGTTCAGATCAGATGAAGGATCTTTGGAATGGTTCCGATAATTTTGATGATTCTACTGATGACTGTTTGACAATAACATGAAGCCTTGCGGGGGCACTTGAAGCTTGGCCGTTTCGTCTATTTTTTTGCAAAGTGCCGGACGGCACGGCACGTGACAAGTTGTTGTGGCAAAGACGGCCGGACCGAGTCCTTTGTACAGCACCTTTCCATGGGAAGAGAAGGCCAGGGCTCATGACGCTTGGTCCATTGATTTTGCGCGGAGTCTGAACAGTCCTTTTTGCGGTCCCACAGAGAATGAGAGGTAGATGGCTTTGACAAGCCAGCCTCGTGCAATTACAAGGCCCGGCCTTTAAGCTTTATGTCTGAGACACTTGATCTCTCAGACATTCTTGCCCAGAATTGGAGACATCAATGCCTGAAGTATAAGATTGGCACCCAATGTGCCACGCTGCAGATGGATTCAGGCGGGAGGGTGCATTCCACGGAGTCCCCTAGTAGCGTCCTTGCTCCTAGAAGCGATGCCAGGAGCCCTAGTAGCTTCTTGTTCCTAGTAGTAAGGCCAGGAACCCCTAGTAGCGTCCTTGCTTGCTCCTAGTAGCGATGCCCCTTGTTACTAGTAGCGTCCTTGCAAACCAGAGAAAACACATCCAGCTAAGTCTCCATTGGGTTGATCAAACTTCTCCATTGTCGAGCCTCTCAAAGGCGACGGCGAGAATGGCCTCAACCCAGCTATGCTGGATGCATTTCAAGTTGGGCCTTAGTTCCAATGTCAAACCTGTTTACTGACAAGCAATTGTGCAGGACAAGTTTCAAGACGGGAATCGTGCCACTTAGGATGCCATCATGGATCTGCAGGAGAAGTCCGCTTTTGCTGTCCCAAACGTTCTACCACTGCTTTTTTGCACTATTTGAGTTGAGGACAGGACAGATGTCAGGGTAGTCCTGTTAAAGCTGCAGCCCTGGTCAGCCTTTGGTACTTATTTTGCAAACTGGGCACAACAACTCCAACGAGGTCCACAGGGAAATTCTTTTCCAACGGCTTTGACCCAAAGCATCTCCTTGCGGAGTCCACCATGTCTGACGAGGCTTGGATCACTTGGATCTCTTTTTCCACATGAAATGTCATCCTGGTCAACTTCGTTTAGATAAGCCCCAAGGACCGACAGTCGGGTGTTAAGCAGGAAGCTGCTCAACTCGTGAGGCCATCATTGCATTTCAGATTCAGTATGCTAGGCACTTAGAGATTCGCATTGCATTCAGCCGGGTGATGATTTTCATGATATTCTCATGCCAACCTGAGGCCAAGGTCCTTTACTTCTTGCAGAGGCGACTCTGGATTATTGATCGTGCAAGATTCATCATGTGTTGACGTGCGGTAAAACCTTGCGCCAGAGTGCAGACCTTTAGGGCACAGCTCCAATAGCCTTACAGTACAAGAAAGAGATTTGGCTTGGTGCATACATCAAACAGCCTCAACTCCCATGAATGAAGACTATGCGCTGAAGTGTCAGAGTGCAGGCAGACAAGTCTAATCATATTGATTTTCGTTTCCACTGTCTGCTTTTCCTGGTCCCTGATGCCGCGATGGGCGGACAGCCCAGCAAAGTGCCTGGTGGGGCCTTTATGGCCATCAGGGAGAGAAACCCTGATGGCTTTTGCTTTGATGTCAACGGACCAATGCGATTCAAGGACATCTACTACAAGGTGCCCAGGCATCAAGTGGATAAAGGTACGCTTACTTCAAAGTGTACAGACCAGGGCTAGCAGCTAGCAGCTAGTCTTATGATATTTTCAATGAGGCTTGTCGATCTACTGATTCACGGCTGTTCAATGACCCTGACATCAGCTCCTGCTCTCGGTCTAATGAATGTCAAGAAATGGAGTGCTGCTGACTTCTTAAGTGTTTGGAAACTGAGGAAAGGAACCTCGAACCCAGGGAGAGGGAGTTCTTGGTGGACGACCAGCAGATTGATCGAGAGAAGCTGGGGGAGAAGCTTCCATACCTGGGGCAAAAATTGGAATGGGATGATAAAGCCAAGCAGTCTTGGCCTCGGTGAATGTCTTTCGAGGAATACCGCTCTTCGAGACTGTAGCCTAGGTACAAGCCCTTGGAAGGCAAAATGTGGGGGACCACAGCTAAAGGCTACGAAGTGGGGAAGTATCTCTACGACAGCTTCTTGGAGCCAGGGTGCAGGGCATTGACGGAAACAAGGGAAAACCCATGCAAGCCAGCTCCTTTCTCTCAACATATACACACACACACACTAAGAATCAGAGAAGAAATTTCTGCCCAAGTACAAAGATGGCAAACGAGTTCTTGTGCTGACCTTAGCTAGAAGAGAGTGTGAGTCTCTTGGCAACACCTTATTACAGAACAATCTGACATCTTAAACTTGGTGTGCAGCAAAGCGGCGATAGGTGGAAGAGATTGCCGAAGTGATGAAGGAACCATTCGTTTTCAAATTCCCACAATGGCTCCTCAGCTGCAGTGATCCGAGCTGGCGCCTTCCGTTTGACCGCAAGAGCTGTCCGAAGGTGAACAAAGTCGGATTCAGAAACTGCACTGTATTCAGAAACTGGTCTTCAGAAACTATTTCGTTGTATTCAGAAACTATTTCGTTGTATTCAGAAACTATTTCATCGTATTCAGAAACTATTTCGTCGTATTCAGAAACTATTTTCGTCGTATTCAGAAACTATTTTCGTCGTATTCAGAAACTCTTTTCGTCGTATTCAGAAACTACTGTCCCTCATGCTCAGAAACTCTTATTCCCAAACTAGGGGGCGATGTGAACAACCACCTGCGTGGTCAGTTGATGCGTTCTCTTGTATTCAGGGTGGGGTGGGGGGGGTGGGGCTGGGGCAGTAAGCTTCCGTAGGTGGTTGTGTGGACCAATGCTTTCGTGGGTTAGGGTGGGGTGGGGGGGGGAGGTGGGGGGGTGTGGGGCTGGGGCAGTAAGCTTCCGTGCATTGTTGAGGCCGGTGGCATTGTCGAGTTTCCGAATCCAAGCGGCCAGTTTCCAAATACAACAACCGTCGAGTTTCCGAATACAACCATTCCAGTTTCCGAATACAACCGTCGAGTTTCCGAATACAACCGCCGAGTTTCCGAATACAACCGTCGAGTTTCCGAATACAACCGTGACCGTCCGAAGGTGGTTCCCACTGAAGCGACAGAAATCAGTCCTGGTTTGGGAGGCTGGGCTTCAAGAAGCTGAGACCGATTCGGATGCGCTTGTTTACAGCATGGTGTATGAAGTTTCCAGTTTAGGAGAGGCGACACGGAGAGATACAATCGGTTTCAGGAGACGGAAGGATGTCCGAAAGGTCAGGTGCGGATCATTTACTCTGGCGGCAAATCATCCAAGCACGGCATGAGATCCTTGGCTGAATTTCGCAGAGGCACTTCTAATTATAGTATACAGGTATATACGTGTTTTTTTGCTTTAATTATTGATGTCACATCATGTCATGTACCCAAAGGCAATGGCCCTGAAGATGAATCTGGTGCCAGCGCGTGGCTTGTCTAATGTCACGCCATGTCACGCCCAAGGCCCAAGGTAAAACCATCATTGTATAACTGTATAACCGTATATAGCTTTGAGAGATTGTTTGTCCTGGCACGAGATGTCTGGCAGATGAATTCCGCTGACTTTTGCGAGGCCTGTTCACACCTACCATGCCATCAAGAGCCGCTCTGCAGCCTACTTTCGCACATGGCGCTATATTTCCGTGATCTATGGAAGTCAACCCGAGGTCAATCTTGGACGTCATGCCGTAGATTCCCCTCGTAAGGAGGGTAAAAGGACCTTTCAGTGAGTACATCCGAGTCCATCGAAGAGGTCAGTTGAGAGGAGTTGGAAACCTATTATATGACGCAGCAGGATCAATTAACTCAGTGTCCCGTCTTCGCAAATCCTCTGAGTACTTGAAAACTCTCTCCGCTGAGATACCAAGCTGGCCAACGACGCCAGATACCAGGAGGCCGCCAAAAAGGCGCTCTGCGAGGTGCCGCCAGTGAGGCTAAAGTGCACCGGAGGGAAGAGTCCCAAATGCTCCTCGACGGAAGAAGAATGAGGAACAAATTCCTTTCTGCTAGGAAAAACACATGGAAAAGAAGGAAATGGAAAATCAGAAGGGCCCCTTTGATCAGGCAATTATTCAATTGTTTGTCAATGGATTCTAGGTGAAACATCAGGGGATTCAACTCAGGTGGCAAGTCGCCAGATACCAAGAGACCTTTTGAACTCCCTTTTGGTCTCACTTTCAGTCATTCTTGTCGTGGGGGAGTCGGTTGGACAAAGTGAAGGATCAAGGCCACGTGCCCTTGGGACCGATGGAGAGGTTCACAACCTGGCTCCAGCATTTGCATGTTGCACAGCCTTTGTGGTGCCAAGGTATTGATGTGGCCCAAGACTCAGCTCTGAACTGCATGTTTCCCACCGAAGCAGCTGTCACGAGTTTTCCCTAGGATTGGAAGCCTCCCGTTCAAGCCTCAGAAATGCAAGCCTTGCGTTTGCTTAGGGCTGCAAGAACTCCTCAACGCAAGCCTGCAGCCTGCCAGTTTAGTTTGTTCGACATCAAAGACTTCGTGCACCAAAGCACAGAACACGAGCAAGTTGCAGCAAGTTCAAGTTTATGGTATAGTCATGTATCGTCGGTATAGTGGTTTAGAAGTCAAGAAGGATTGATTTTGCACATTTTAGCCAGCAGCACAGCATCGGATCCATTTTGCATTCCTGGTTTTGCATCTTTGCGCGCAACTCAGCCACCTCCAAAGCCGAAGTTCCCTCGCGTTTGCGGCTTCCTGAACCCAAAGCCGCCGGTCCCGACACCGCAACTTGGATGCAGGAGATCATACGTACGAGATGGAGCACCTCTCCCCGGTTAAGTGGCGGAAACAAATCTGTTCTTGTTGAAAGTGCGAGCAGTAGACTGTCCATGCTTCTCGTCCAAATGTCATGGCCAAAACACGGTGACATTACCAGGCATTATAGGTGGCTGAGACCGAAGAAGTACTCACGACTCACAAGCTCGGCCCGGGACATCACCATGTCGTGTCCCTCTGAGGCCCCCAGTGCTCACCTGGCAGATAGCTCGGCAAAGTGTGGGAGGTGTTTGCAAGACGGATTCTCCACCACCGGGCTCTGGCGTGGATGAGGCCCAAAGTAGAAGACCAGTAAGAATCAACTTGAACATTTGACCAAACCAGACGAAACGAGCAGTGGCAGTTTCACCTGTTTAGCCCGCAGAAACCTGACGAAGAGCGTGCTGGTTAAAAGGCGCTTTTGGCGCCTTGGCTGCACCATGGAGCAAGCTATTAAGAACACCTAACGTATTTTGTGTGCCTATAGTTTACGTTTCTATTCAATTCAGCATGACCCTTCTTTTTGCTATTGTTCCCAGGTGCTTGTTGTGCTTCAGAAAAGCAGAGCCTTTGGTTTGGCCCAGACTACGTCTTTTCCTCCCATTCCCAGGAAAGTCTGCTGCAAAGACTCCGTGCCGCTGTGGGACAAAAGTGTGTGCGATTTGTACCGGCAAAGCTAGAAAGCCCAGAAAGCCGATGAATGCCCACGCACACATGAGTACTCACATCATAGGTCGGAGGCCATCGCTCTTAGGTCGGAAGCCATCGCTCTTAGGGTTTAGGGTTTAGAGTATGTGTTGACATTGTGACCGCAGACTTGGACCTTCCTTCATCTCTGCCGTGACTTGGACCTTCGTATTTCATGGCCAAGAGCCCTTTCCTCGATTGCAGGTTGCAGCAGTTGACTGTCGCTGTACTTCAGGGCACAGCGATGGGTGCCTCGAGCTCAGAGATTGTACTGAACTTTGACACCTCCATGCCTCCATGTCATTTTCATGCCCTATGAACGTGGGTGCAGTCTGAGCATGCGGATTTGCAACATGAATGATCAGTTTGCTGAGGCTGGCATTGGCCTGGTGTGCGCTTGTGACTATGTAATTTCAGTTAAAGGTGCTTCATTGTTGGACCGTGGTAACGAATAACACATTTCGGCCATTTTTGCAGGACTTGATAGAGATGTTGATCTCCTGCTAGGTGCCTTCTTCACCATGAGCGAAGCAAAGCTTGGAGCAGTTTCCTGGAGGGATTTGCACCGCTCAACTGCTTTGAACATACCATGTATACTGAGGCGACTAAGACTAGGTATAAGACGATCACCAATCATACTGTGTTAGTCACTTGTGAATGTTCACTGTTCAATTGCTCGTTTCATCATACTTCCTAAGGTTCCCTCTGCAGCATTGCCGTACATCACAAGGCAAGACATGACCGGTCACGGTGCTAAATCAAAGGCTCTTTCTGGCAGGCGGTGCACTTTCATCAAGAATGTGCCAAGGGCTCAGAGGGAAGAACTACAGAAATCGAAAGGCAACCGCACTGTGCCGTCGAAGCTTTGAAAAGCGTGACATACTTGCGCGATACAAAGGCATTCTTGTTGAAGTATAACATTTCCTGCCTTCTAGGTATCAGTTGGTTTTGGCTGGTGCCAGAATAAATGCAGAGGTTGCAGAGGACGGTGCAAGAATTCAGTTGCAACACATTGACCAAGGCTTGTACTGTTGTCAGCACTGTCATTTTGCTCGGAGGAATATGGATTTGTTGACAAGGTTGTAGACGAGGCAAAAGATCTCGAGGCTCTCATCCGACCTTAAGAAGGTCCAAGTAAATCGGGGGTAGCCTAGAGCGGCAGCGACCGACAAATGTTTGGCCAAGTCTTCACTTGACAATTTATGCTAAATTACCAATTTTGTGGTCTGTCAAAGCTAGTAGGGGGGGAGACCATCGCTAGTAGGTTGGAGGCCATCGCTAGTAGGGGGGGAGGCCATCACTAGTAGGTTGGAGGCCATCGCTAGTAGGTTGGAGCCCATCGCTAGTAGGTTGGAGGCCATCGCTTCTAGGTTGGAGGCCATCGCTTCTAGGTTGGAGGCCATCGCTAGTAGGTTGTTGGAGGCCATCGCTTCTAGGTTGGGGGCCATTACTAGTAGGTTGGAGGCCATTACTAGTAGGTTGGAGGCCATCGCTAGTAGGTTGGAGGCCATCGCTAGTAGGTTGGAGGCCATCGCTTCTAGGTTGGAGGCCATTGCTAGTAGGTTGCAAACATGGAGTAGACTCGGTAGGTTGAAAGCCAAGCGGTATGCGATCGGATGACGCTTTGTGCGCCTGGTGCTGTGGTAGGGTGCCCAGTGACGTAGCTTTCAACACTCAGACCAAGCTAGCAGCCAGAACTTGCTTGTTTGCTAACCCAAAAATCTCGCTAGTTCAACCGACTGCAATAACCCCTTTTGCTTATGCTCAATGCCTGTACGATGCTCAATGCGTTGCTTTCGCTGAGGCTGCCACCAAAGAAGTTGTCATGAATACTGACTGGACCTCAAATGCCCCTCCATCCACAAGGCATATTTGGAGTGTCTTTGTGTGTGAGGTGGGTGTGCCACCCTCCTCTTTCATGTGGCCTTGGCATGTTTGGAAACGAAGACTACCTAGAAGCGATGGCCTCCAACCTACTAGCGATGGCCTCCAACCTACTAGCGTTGGCCTCCAACCTACTAGCGATGGCCTCCAACCTACTAGCGATGGCCTCCAACCTAATAGCGATGGCCTCCAACCTACAAGCGACGGGTGATATTTATTGAATTTTCTCTAATGTCAGGATGAACTATGTGGCCAGCATCGTGGCTGATATCCGCAAAGGCATGGCTGTCGGTATTGCATTGTGGTGATGCAAAGCACGGTCGAATGGTCAGGCCCGGAGAGCAAGGCCGGCATGGAGGCAGTTCAGCAGAAGCCTCGAATGAAGTGCAGGATTTGAAAGGCATTTGGATGCATTTGGTATGGTGCATTTCCTTTTCATGATCTGAGGAGCAAATCTCGTCCAAAATGGGTACTGGTGGCTTGTGTTGGCTTGAGAAATTGATACAGTTCAGAGTCATCAGCGGCCATTTGTACCGATGGCAAGCCAGGCAGACACCGCAATTGCGCCGTGAGCTTTGTGAGAGGTGTGTTTCTGGACGGCCAAAATGGACCAGAGATGCATGAAAGCTTTGCATTGGTGCCTTCTTCCGCAGTTTCCTCGTGGTAAAAATGAGCGAAGTATTCTTTCAAATCTTGGTATAGCTGCATGGCCGTAAATGGAATTGTTGCTGTGGGCTTGATTTTTGCCACTTCCTCTAGGTTGGAGGCCATGGCTATTAGTTAAGTTTCCCAAAGACGCACGGGAGCTGATTTGACGTGGTGAGTGGACGCGTGGCTCAAGAGCGGTCTCGACCGCTTGCGGCCGGGAGGATGTTCGGCTTGCTGTCGAGCCTAGGTGAAGCGTCAAGAACTGTTGCAGCGCCGGTGTACATGAAACGGGGGGATGTGCCCCTTCATACTCCGCTGGACACCACGAGCACGGACCTGAGTGGACCACTTGAGGAAAAAAACACGAAAAGAAAAACAAAAAACAACTGCGTGACATATCGAACTTGCGGATGCTGCGTCTCGCCCCTCAACGGTCCCTTCCGCAAAATTTGTGGGGTGGTTTCCAGACAGTTGGTAACGTCACTTGACTACCCCAGACACCACGGCTAAGCCACACAAGCATAAGGTGTAACGCAGGAATCAAGATCGACAGCGTAAGACCGAACAACGATACGATACACATTCAAAAGACGAGAAAGGTACTGGACACCATCAACTCACTGTTGGGCATCTACTTAAGATCGGGATCACTGAATGACATGGTACTAAGATCGCTCAGTGAGCCCTACAAGCCGTCGCACTCTTAGCTTGTCAGGGCTATTTCCGTACCAAAGGCTCTGAGATCTTGGACCTAACTACTCAATGCTACTGCTACTAGTAGTAATAGTAGTAGTAGTAGTACTACTACTACTACTAATCCTACTGCTACTGCTACTGCTTCTGCTGCTGCCACTGCTACTGCTACTGCTTTTGCTACTCCTACTCCGACTACTACTACTACTACTACTACTCCTACTTCCACTCCCACTCCCACTCCCACTCCCACTACGACGACTACTACTACTACTACGACGACTACTACTACTACTACTACTACTACTACTACTACTTACCACTAGTACTGCTATTACGACGACTACTACGGTAGTACGACTACTCAGACTAGCACCACTAATACCACTGCAGCCACTACCACTACCACTGCTGCTGCTGCTGCTGCTGAAGGGCAACAGTTTTCAATCGCGTTGTTCTGATCTCCACAAGCAAAAAGCGCTGCTACAATTTGACACGTCCATCCACATCTCCTTGCCAATAGAACTTTGGCGGAGGAGTTTCCGCTGAAATGACATGCAAGGGTTGCAAGTCATCTCCGCTTTACACGTGGTGTACTTTTTTTGCACAAACAATATATATATATATCTGGCAACAACGTTGTACGCATTTATATATACACCAGGTTCTCGTTTGGCAGAAAAACACGAGCATCCTTTCTTCGTAGTGTCGCTCCGAAATGCGGAATCCGCCAATCATTACGTCAATCATAGCTGAACGCACAGCACGAGATGGCCTACTGGCCGAATGTGTTCTCTCGCTAGCGTTGCCGTAGTCCCTCTTGGTGCTCACAGCTCAGTCTGTGAAGTATTTTTTGTGGATGCTTGGATGCATCTTTATACAATTTAGGTCGGAGTCAAATATACTAACACGACCTCAACAACGGAGGCCAGAAGACCAAACTGGAAGAGCAGAGCAACTACCTGATGCCTCAACACACTTGAGAAAACGTCTTGGAGAGTTCCACAGATCACGGGATACACACGGATCACATTCAGGAGGATTCACGAGTGATCACGTGTGCACACGAAGCACTGTGAGGTGTGGTCTATCGCACGCCGAGCACCATCAGCAGTCCCAGCCAGAGACTCGGAAGTTTCTGATCTGATAGTGAAATGCATTTGCTCGGCATCTTCATCTTCAGGCATTGTGCAACGGTCTGTGTCTCCTTTGAGCCCCACTAGTCGTACACCCAGCTAAGTACAGTTGACAGGTCACTGGAGCAATATTGTGAAGTGTGAGTTTGTTCTTTAGGGATTCGACGCGAAGCAGACAGTCCCGTTGGCAGCCCGAGCCGTGAGCTCAACTGTTGGTTGTTGGAAGAGGCGACTTGAAGCCAGACAGGAGCGCCGTGGTGAGGCGTTGTTTATCGAGCTGTAAGCCCAGTGAGCAGCCCGAGTGCAAGACTGAGTTGGCCAGCTTTAAAAGTAGGACTGGACATGGAAATGCGTTATGTGGACTGAGTTGTTCCGAGGCAACGTGAGAACCATCATTCCCGTCAGTAGTCCCAGCCCCAGCAGGAGAAGTTCTTGAAACTTGAGAAACTTTGTTCCTAGTAGCTTCTTGTTACTAATTAATAGCGATGGCCTCCACCTAAAAGCGTCCTTGTTACTAGTGGCTTTGAACGCAAACTTCACAGGACATATTTCCGCCATGAGGCCCCACAAAGCGTGCCGCGAGTCCTGTTAGTAGTCCAGGTGGTGTGCCTAGGAGGGCATTGCAGCCAGTTTCAGGATGTGACCCAGGGCATTAAAGGAAGGAATCATATGCAGTACTATGCATTATCATGAAACAACACGTGAAGAGGAGCATACGGTGTGCCGCCTTGACAAGGCAACGTTTATCGGGCCGTCAGCCCGGTGACCAGTCCAGGCGATTAGACACTTGGTGGTGAAGGCTGCTTTTTGGCGCCTGGTGTCCAGGCAGTGTGTACCGTGCCGTGAGCCCTGCGACCAGTCCAAGCTGCGAGCTGAGATCTGGAAAGTGTATATACCGAAAAGACTGTTGGTGCTTACGCCAGCCACAGGCAATGCCCAATCCGTGCAGTTACCACAAGCTGTTCCTGTTCCTGCTATTAGCCCAAGCAGCAACCTTACTTGAGTTTTGCCTAGAAGTTAGAATTATACATTAGGAATCATTATGACACGTAGTGATACAAATTGAGCAAACGACATATTGCAAGAATGAATTGTTGAGGCTTTGTTCCTGTGCTCAGCCCTAGTTGCGGGCTCATTGGGAGCTTCTGAGTCTTTGTGAGCCTGAAGTTGTCACATTTTGAGGCCTTGTAGCCCCTGTGAACAGTCCGAGTGACAGCCCCACGAGCAATGCAGGTTGGAATCTCAAAGGAGCAACGTTATAAACCTCAAAGGATTTAGCTAGGCTCAAGATTATGAGTCTTTGCAAAACAAAAACTGCAGTTGGGGAAAGCTCGGGGGAAGGTTGGAGGAAGGTTTATAACTGTAACTTGTTGATGAATGCATTGTGAATTGTGTCGTGTTGCGAAAGGGTTGGCGAAAGAGGGTTTCCGTATGATGCATTTCATCTTGTACGATTTGTTTCCTGACTAGATTAGGCGATTGCTTGGGAGACAAGACGTACCACACAGAGAGACAGGTAGGGAGACAAGTGGGAAGACAAGGCATGGTGGCGACCTCTAAGGCATCGGCTTGGCAGTGATACGCATTCAAGCTCAGTCCTGTGCATCCCTGTGGCACAAACCAAGTAGTTTGCCCCACTACTTGGCCCTCCACGGTAGACTCCACAAGTTCGCAATCGTTCAGCACTCCAGAAATCCACGACACCAGCAACCTCGGCCAATCCACACTGACTTTGGCCCTGCTTAAAGGAGCACCGAGTCTGTCAAAAGGTGATGCAATGGTGTTCTCAAAGAAAACAACAAAACAGGACTCGACTGGGATTCTCCTAAGACCGTAAAATGCCGGCTTGAAAGGGCTCACACTGCTGCGCTGAGTACAGCTGTCAGCAATCCAGCGGAAGAAAGGTCCGTGCTCACTAGCGAAAGAGGTCTTAGGGCTGAGCGGGTCGGCAAAAGCTAAACATGCAGCCGCGAAAGCCTTGAGCTAATCTTAGTGAATTTTCCGCCACACCGTGGATTCTGGCCATGTGACCTTGTACTCTCTCTCTCTATATATATATATAATAATAGTAATGATAATAACACTAGTAATAATAATAACAATAGTATAATGACAATAGTAGTAATAAAAATATTATATATATATTTATATTTATATTTATATATTTATATATTAGTGTTCATGATCAAATCCAGCCATGTTTTTGATTGCGTAAAACTCCAAGAAGCACCTATCATTCTATAGAGAGAGAAAAGCCACAATATGCACCTTTAAGGCTTTTCACAGAGACAAAGATGACAAACATAGAGGCCATAGCCTTTAGGTTGGAGGCCATCGCCTTTAGGTTGGAGGCCATCACTAATAGGTTGGAGGCCATCGCTAGGAGGTTGTAGGCCATCGCTGGTAGTTTGGAGGCCATCGCTATTAGGTTGGAGGCCATCGCCTTCAGGTTACAGGCCATTGCTATTAGATTGGGGGCCATCGCTAGTAGGTTGGAGGCCATCGCTAGTAGGTTGGCGGCCATCGCTTCTAGGCTGGAGGCCATCGCTTCTAGGTTGGAGGCCATCGCTAGTAGGTTGGAGGTTGGAGGCCATCGCTAGTAGGGTGGAGGCCATCGCTTCTAGGCTGGAGGCCATCGCTTCT